GAATTCTGAAAAATGAGATCTCACGCTTACATACTTATTATTTTTTGTCATGCTTAAATGATTAAAAAGCAGCTCCCTCAGTATTGGTAACTTCTGCATTGATGCCATTTTAGAAGTACAAGATAGTATCTTGAAAAACGAAAATGTGAAAGCAGTGCAGTTCTGCATTGATGCCATTTTAGAAGTACAAGGTAGTATCTTGAAAAACCAAAATGTGAAAGCAGTGCACTTCTGCATTGATGCCATTTTAGAAGTACAAGGTAGTATCTTGAAAAACCAAAATGTGAAAGCAGTGCACTTCTGCATTGATGCCATTTTAGAAGTACAAGGTAGTATCTTGAAAAACCAAAATGTGAAAGCAGTGCAGTTCTGCATTGATGCCATTTTAGAAGTACAAGATAGTATCTTGAAAACCAAAATGTGAAAGCAGTGCACTTCTGCATTGATGCCACTTTGTCAATGGAGAACTACGACCATTTGTTTTCTGTTCCATTTCATGTTTGCCTTTTTGTTTTTTATGTCGTTTTGTTTGATTATTTATGCAGAAACAGCACACATGATATTTGAAAGAGAAAAGAGATACATATTGTAGAACTGTTTGCAGATCTTTAGCTAATCATTTGGTTACATGTGGACATCTCTAATGCTTTGTCATCTCCCTGAACTATTAGGTTACAGAATGGCTGCTGAGTGCGCCAGAAATGCTTTGTTGAAGAAGACCATGGACAACAAAGATAATACAGGTCACCTATTTAGTTACCTTCTCATATACTCCCTCCATCCCAAAATAAGTGTCTTTGACTTTAGTACAAAGTTGTACTAAATCAAAGACACTTATTTTGGGATGGAGGGAGTATGATTTTGTCACTATGTTTAAGCACTATGTAATCTTCTGTTAGTTATTACTTGTGTGGAACAAGGTTTATGTTTACTTCCTGGAATACTAGCTTATAGGACCTGGTATCATTGGTTGCCCTAGTTGGGGCCTGGCAGTATTTTCAGTCAGATGTATAAATTTTATTGCATTCATTATGCTTTATAGTTTATATATCAAGAGTTCCCGCCCAGGAATATTCTTCTGACAATAAACCTTCATTGGTGCTGCAGACAAGTTCAGATCAGATCTCATGAACATCGCCATGACTACACTTAGTTCGAAAATTCTCTCCCAGGACAAGGAGTATTTTGCTGAACTTGCAGTTGATGCTGTCCTCAGGCTTAAGGTAAAAAGGACTGGGGGAAGTTGGTCATACCATATATTTTCTATATGTGGGATGTTGTTTGAGGTCTAGTTCAGTATAGTTCTTTATTATTAATTCACATCTGTTGGTAAAGCGTTGATTTGATATCATCACACTTGTTCATTGGTGGCAGGGTAGCACCAACTTGGAATCAATCCAAATTCTGAAGAAACCTGGAGGATCTCTTAAGGATTCCTTTTTGGATGAAGGGTATGTTCTTTCACAAACTATATTATGGGAAACCTAGTTCTCTTTTACCCCAAATATATTATGGTCCTATATCAGTTCCAAGCAGACTGGCATCAGTTTAACATTCTGAATCTGTTTTGTAGGTTCATCCTTGATAAGAAGATTGGCCTGGGTCAACCAAAGCGAATTGAGAATGCTAATATTTTGGTTGCGAACACCGCTATGGATACAGATAAAGTTAAGATTTATGGGGCACGTGTCCGGGTGGATTCGATGTCTAAGGTTGCAGATATTGAAGCTGCTGAAAAGCAGAAAATGAGAGAGAAAGTTGAGAAAATCATTGGTCACGGGATCAACTGCTTTGTCAACAGGCAGCTAATCTACAACTTTCCTGAAGAACTTTTTGCTGATGCTGGTATCCTTGCAGTTGAGCATGCTGACTTTGAGGGTATCGAGCGGTTAGCTCTTGTCACGGGTGGTGATATTGCATCTACTTTTGACAACCCAGAGTCTGTTAAGCTTGGGCACTGCAAGCTCATCGAAGAGATTATGATTGGGGAGGACAGGCTGATTCATTTCTCCGGGGTTGCGATGGGGCAAGCTTGCACCATTGTCCTGAGAGGAGCAAGGTATGTCTTATTTGTGCAGCTCCTTATCATGCAGTGATAACATTGTACTCCCTCCGTAAAGAAATATAAGAGCGTTTCTAAACGCTCTTATATTTCTTTACGGAGGGAGTATTATTCAGTCATTCTGTTTTATTTGGCCGCACATTGACTATGTGTCTTGTTGTCTACAGTGAGCATGTGCTTGATGAGGCTGAGAGGTCCTTGCACGATGCCTTGTGTGTGCTCTCCCAGACAGTAAATGACACGCGTGTCATATTTGGCGGTGGATGGCCTGAGATGGTGATGTCCAAAGAGGTGGATGAACTTGCAAGGAGGACCCCTGGGAAGAAATCTCATGCGATTGATGCTTTTTCGCGCGCCCTGCAAGCCATCCCAACAATCATAGCCGACGATGCTGGTCTGGATAGTGCCGAGCTGATCTCTCAGCTCCGAGCTGAGCACCACAAGGAGAACAGCACTGTTGGAATCGACGTCATCAGCGGCGGGGTAGGCTCATCGTGACACCGATTTTGTATCTGAACCTGTACCTGAGGGGGTTTGGAACTAACATGGTCCCCTGTTGTGCAGCTGGGAGACATGCAGAAGCGTGGCATCTGCGAGGCGTTCAAGGTGAAGCAGGCCATCGTCCTGTCGGCGACCGAGGCTGCGGAGATGATCCTGAGGGTCGACGAGATCATAACCTGCGCCCCACGCAGGAGGGAGGACAGGATGTGAAGATACCCACGAGCTGTTTTGATGCTTGGCTACATATGTATGGTTTGCCGAGTTGTGGCTGGGTTACCGTGGGTCCATGGCTGCTTTGAAGTCTCCATTTCGATTGTCGTCGAACCCGGACCCCAAAGCGACTGGAGCTTGTGGGAGTAGCTAGCGTTCCGTAGGGGGTGGCTTTGGTTTTCTTGAGTTATTTTCCACTAGAGAATATAGTTATGTGAATGCTGTAACCTTGTTTTAACTGCATCTTTGCATGCGGAGGCGCTTATTTCAGAACATGCATGCGCTGCTGCAGCTGTGAGTTTTCCATCTTGTCTGCTGTACTCTGTTGGACATCAACCATTTGCTAGTGTCCTGCGAGGTAAGAGACATGTATGACTGAAACTGGATCCAGTCCTGTTTGCAACTATGAGTAGATGCAGATCAATTGCTATCTGTTCTCTTGATTATATCCCGGTAAAATAAAATATAGGAGAAAGTATGTAGTGCTGGCCCGTGAGATTGAGTAGAGCTAGCTAGTCTCTACAAGCCCCAGTCTTTAGTTGATGGTCTGTTTGAACAGTGCCTTCTTATTGTCAACAGGTTGCATACAGCTTGTGATCATTATCAGATGAGCAGCTGCCTCTACTGATATGAACCTCATCTAGCTTACATAAAACTGTCACTTGCTAGAACAAACTCACTGGTGTGCCTAGAAACCCCACATAACCAAAACATGTCCTCTTAACTACTTTCAAGTTCAGAACCAAAGGGGTTACAGAAAGCTGGACAACTAAATGATGAACATGTCCACAAGGAGCTAAGCCTTGAAGGCCTTCCCTCAACCTCAAAAAACCTTGTCCACAAGGAACTAAAACAGTTGTGTCTAAGAAACTCAACCATACCATAACTGGGAAGTCCATGCCGCAAATACTACTCCCTCCGTCCCAAAATTCTTGTCTTAGATTTGTCTAGATATAGATGTATCTTTTCACATTTTAGTGTTAGATACATCCGTATCTAGATAAATTTAAGACAAGAATTTTGAGACGAAGGGAGTACAATACATGCACTGGAACACAAACAGTCAGCACACCACACACATCAGAGGCATCTGCTGCGATACATAACACAAGATGGGTTTGGCGTGGTTCTAGTCAAGATATGGACTCCTGTCACAACGTGAGATGCCGAATATCAAACACATCGTGTTCTAGACCAGCACAAGCTTTTCAACACCAACCATGTGGAAGCAAATGATACACCAAACATTTGGCCCCGCCGCGATCTAATCCAAACTTATCAGACCGCAACACTTGCATGCGCCCATCACATGGCCTTGTCCTGCGCCGACACGATGACGCCCTTCCCGTCGTCTCGCCTATAAATCCAGCGAACGGCTCAGCTCAACAGCATCACCTGATCGCCACACGTATCCACCACCAGCTGAGCACTGCAACATCCATAGCAGACAGCAGCACACGTTCTCCAAACCTCCAGCTGAAAAGCAATACCCAGCCAGAACCATGGCCGGCGCCAAGAGATTTGCTCAGTTGGCCAAGAGGCTCACCGTGACGGCCAAGGAAGACCAAGGATGCTGCACCTCTGCACCGGCTAAGGGCCGTTGCGTCATGTACACGGCCGACGGGAGGCGCTTCGAGGTCCCGCTGCTGTACCTCGGCACAACGGTCTTTGGTGACCTCCTGAGGATGTCCCAGGAGGAGTTTGGCTTCGCGAGTGATGGCAAGATCACGCTGCCCTGTAATGCCGCGGTGATGGAGTACATCATGTGCTTGCTGAGGAGGAATGCCTCTGCCGAGGTCGAGAAGGCGGTGCTGAGCTCTATGGTGACACCTTGCCACTACACTGGCTCTGTGATGCCTACCGTTGGAGCCGGCAATCAGATTTACTGTGTGTAGCTGCTGAAGAACAGCAGGTTTAGAGTAGTTTGCCTGGATAGTGTACAATTGTTAGATAGCAGACAATAGGAGAAGGAAAATTGTATGTAAAGCAATGTGATCATTACAGCAACAACCAACAGGAATGTGGTCAACCAGCAGTTGCAGCCATTCTTCTCTTTCGTTTTAATTGCATATAACTATATAATGAACTGAGCCAACGATTGTTGCAACTCTATTTCTAGATGTCAATAGTTTCATACTGCTGCACAGAGAATGAAAAAAAAAACAAGCTTCAATGCAATCTAGTATCATCTAAATCAGGACGCTAGAATGATCAAAAACTTGTGAATTAGTGAACCGGCCAGGTGGTACAGGGGCCATTTTAGGATGAACCATCAGGAGAATATTTAGAAGCCATCAATACAAGAAGTAGGATAAAATTTACAAAATGGAAGAGAAAGCAGGCTGTACTCCACGAAAAGATTTATTTTGGGGGGTAAAAGACACTGATGTTTAACTGTTACTGAATTACTGAATGTTGTACCCACAAAACTTTACAGAAAGTGTCGACACAAGATTTAGTAGAAGTCTGTTATATATTCAGAATCTTCAGACATGCAGCTGGCTGAAGGCCCAAAGGAGAGTGCAGAGAAAGAGCTAAGGAATGGCTACAGCCTACAAGTTAGGTAGGCCATCAAGAACTAAGATATGACACTATTCGACAAGTTATCTGTACTGCATCAATTAAGATCATCCCTTTCGCACCTAATCAAAATGTTAAGAGTATGCATTCAAGTACAATCGCAAATTCCAACTAAGTCAGCTTCTCATCTGAAAAAGAAAAACTGTTGACAACTATAGGCCCATGGTTTCCTTCCAATTTCTTCCCTCCGTCCCAAAAAATGTGTCTCAACTTTAGTATGAACTATGTTAAAGGATGTGACAAATAATGTATTTTTTCCATGAAAATTGTCTCTTATCTACATTTCCTGTGACAAACGAATCTTACATCAGACTCTACAGAACTCCTCTCGGACCTAACCAAAAGAAATATTTCACTAGCTAAACTAGTAGCTAAGCACAGAGAGCAAATTGATGGCTGAGTACTAGTCCCATCGATGGCGCCACACAGCTAGCACTGTAGTTGTGGCCATGCTCAGCAATGGAGCTCAAGAACGCCCTCTCGACCTCCTCAGAGGCCTCTCTCCTGACCAGGCACAAGACGTACTCCATCACCGTGGCATCGCAGGGCAGCGTGATCCTGCCTCCATCGCTACCGCTTGCAAAGCCAAACTCCTCTTCGGACATCCTCAGGAGCTCGGCGAAGACCGTCGTCCCAAGGTACACCAGAGGGACCTCAAACCGTGCTCCGTCGGCGGCATACACCACGCAGTGGCCCTCATCGGCAACCACAGACGACGTTGTGATGCAGCATTCATCGTCGGCTGTGTCCGAGGCATGATGCCGGCGGCGGGCCCCGGCTCTGGCAACCAACATCCGCTGACACTTCTTGGCCAGCTGAGCAAGTTTCTTTGGATGGATCATGGTTGAGTCTGATGTGTTCCTGACTGGCTAAATTTCAGTTTGGCTCTGAAACTCTGAAGGCGTGTTGTAGATTGTGATGTGGCTTGCATATGAGATGAAGAAGTTTGTGTTGAGCAGGCCATGGATTTATAGTAGGAGGAGAGGGCTCAGGGAAGTGCATATGCGTGTGGGTCGTGTGTAGCTATCAGCGAGAGCGTTGGGCAGGGGACAATGCCATGAGTGCCCTTCATGCAGTGTTGTTGCAACTAGCTGCAGACAGTGTGATGAATGATTTTGGTGAGATTTTCAAGCACCTTCCATGTCTGAAATGTGGTTCGGCTAGGGGGTCCTCGTGCCATTTCCCCAGCAAACCCATCACGACGCGTGTAGGCGAGACGTCCAGCCCAAGCTCCGGCAAGTGCCAAACACTTGGCCCCATTGCCCCAGTAGAACCTGATCCAGATCTCATCATGGCACCGCCATAAACGAAACACCGCCATAAACACTGGACCCGGATGGCCCCACAATGCCTCTGCCCAATTCAGCAGCGAAGACTGTTGTAGGCATCTTATCACCCAGCCACTAGTCCACTATCCTTGCCTCCATAGTGCCATGTCCCAGCAGGATCAAACGATCTCATTGCCTCCTTCACGAGCCATCGTTGAAATCATCGAACTCATGGCCTTGTCCCCTGCCCAATGCAAATTAGGCATACGTCTATGCCTATGTATTCATGGGCTAGCTAGTAGTGCACCATCACTTCATCAACAAACTCACAGGCTAAACATTTCTGAGCAACATACCTCAGAACCATGCCCAGCAGAATAAACTCTGAATCTCATTGCCTCCTTCAGGAGCCACCATTTCACGCACCGAGCTCATGGCCTTGTCCCCAATGCAAATTAGTCATACGTCTGTGCCTGTATATCCATGGGCTTCATCAACAAACTCACAGGCTATTAGGCTAAGCATTTCTGAGCAACATACCTCAGATGTAAGACCACACAGACATGACCATGATCCATCCTAAAAGATTTGCTCAGTTGGTGAGGAAGTGGAAAAGTGTCAGGACAACATCCAACGACAACGAAGCAGGCTGCACGACACTGCAGGTCATAGATAAAGGCCACTGCACCGTGTACACTGCCAATATCCAAGCAGTATGGTGTCACTGCACCAGCAGCTTGCAGTTTGTAGCTCCTGAATATATGCCAAGCTTTTCCCTCAATTTTGCATGTTTTTCCATGGTGTAAAATAGCTCGACACTGGAGAATGGAAATTACATATTAGCATACCAGCTTATTGCATCCTACAAACTACCATTAACTATAAGTCTACAACCATATATCATTAGGACATAGGGCGCTAGAAAGCGATTTACTTTAACCTCGGGATTCAGAGTATAAAAGCACCACTACCATTAAGAGAATCAAAGATGTGATTATAATGTATGCTAAATAAATAAAAAAATTCTAATTTTCTGTTGCACTTATCTTCCAAAAAGTGTACTGAATCTGTATACAAGAACAACAAATACATACCCTTTTCAGAAGAAAATAGTCCAAGGAAGTTACCGTACAATATGCTCAACAACAGGGTTTATTTGATTTCTGGGCATTGTCTACAAAATAGAAGACCAAAAGCAAAGGTAGATATGTGATATCCTACGTTCTTCAGAAATTATTAAGTTTCTTCCCCAACTGAACTGATGTACTGCAAACGGCAGTTAGGGCGTATTCCGCCCTGCATTTTCATTTGTAGTGTGACGAGCTGACGAGAGGCCACCCAGCTCACGCAAGTAGTCTCCGACACAAGGGAAATGGTACCCAGAAGTGCACACTTCCGATGGCAGCGGCGCTGGAAACGTTCATCTTCCAGGCAACAGACTGCAGTTCCTACCTCAAGAACCTATAACCAGCTCAACCCACCTCCGTCTGGGACACACGATTCAGTTCCGACAGTTCTAGGTACAGTATGCTGATCATTCATCTAATCCTCCATCCGCATTCCCTTCGCTGCGCCATCACCGCGTTCTGCCACCTTCTGGTCAGGCACATCCTCTCCTGTTTCCTTCCCCCACATATCATACCGACAAACTTTCTTCAGTACTCTATACGGCGAACTGCAGCAAAGGCCAAAGTATGTGTCAAATAGCCAAATTTCTCTCAGTAAAATAGTATTTTTTGTATCATTTCTCGTGATAGTAGGATCTTACATCAGACTGTACAGGGATCTTCAGGTTCTAACAAAAATAATCACCAGACAAGCTAGTAGCTAAGTACAAAGAGCAAACTGATGGTTGAGTCCCATCGATGGCGCCACACAACTAGCAATAGAGCTCAAGAAGGCCCTCTCAACCTCCTCAGAGGCCTCTCTCCTGACAAGGCACAAGACGTACTCCATCACCGTGGCATCGCAGGGCATCATGATCCTGCCTCCATCGCTGCCGCTGGCGAAGCCAAACTCCTCCTCGGACATCCTCAGGAGCTCAGCGAAGACCGTCGTCCCAAGGTACGCCAAAGGGACCTCGAACCGTTCTCCGTCGGCGGCGTACACTATGCAGTGGCCCTCATCAGCAACCATAGACGACGTTGTGCTGCAGCATTCGTCGTCGGCGGTGTTTGAGGCATGCTGCCAGCGGCGGGCACCGGCTCCGGCAGCTATCCGCTTGAACTTCTTGGCCAGCTGAGCAAGCTTCTTTGGATGGATCATGGTTGAGTCTGATGTGTTCTTGGCTGGCTAAATTTCAGTTTGGCTCTGAAAGTCTAAAGGTGTGGTGTAGATTGTGATGTTGCTCTGTAGGAGTAGATGAGATGAAGAAGTTTGTGTTGAGCAGGCCATGGAATTATAGTAGAAGGAAGAGAGGTCTCAGGGCAGTGCATATGTGTGGGTTGTGTGTAGCTGTCGGCAAAAGAGTTGGGCAGGGGACAAGGCCTTGAGTGCTCTTCATGCAGTGTTGTTGCAACTAGCTGCAGACAATGTGATGAATGATTTTGATGAGATTTTCAAGCACCATCCATATCTGAAATGTTTTTCGGCGAGAGAGCCCCATCGGGTCCTCGTGCCAATTCCCCAGCAAACCGATCACCATGGTTGTACAGGCCAGGCATCCAGCCCCAGCTCCGGCAAGTGCCAGACACTTGTCCCCAGCAGAACCTGATCTAGATCACATCATGGTGCCTCCAAAACGGCAGCACCACATGTACCATGCCCACAACACTGTCTCCTTCCCAACCATCACACGCTCCACCTCCACCTTGTGGGCGCTTGCTTTACCCTTGACCTATAAATCCATGGCCTACTGCCCTCCAAACACCACCATTTCATCCACAGATAAAGGCATTCCAAGCTCCATCTCGCAGAAGTATTTCTCCCGTTTCCAGAGCCATGATGGGTGCCAAGACACTCGCTCAGCTGGCCAAGAAGTGGCAGAGGGTGTCATCTATCGGGCAGAAGAGGCCCACCTGGTCGTCGTCAACATACAGCGGAAGAAACGGGAGGGTCGTGCGGCACATCATGCTCACCGGTGGCCGGCAAGGGCCAGTTCGTCGTGTACACCACCAACGGTGTGAGGTTCGAGGTGCCGCTTGTGTTCCTCGGCACGATGGTCTTCGTTCAGGATGTCCCAAGAGGAGTTCGGCTTCGCAGGCGTTGACAGTGGCAGAATCACGCTGCCCTGCGACGCATCGGTGATGGAGTACGCCATGTGCTTGCTCAGGAGAAGCGCCTACGCAGAGATGGAGGCCGCGTTCCTCAACACCATGGCGATGCCATGCCACTATCATGCGACGGCATATCTGGGAGTTAGCCAGCATTTTGGTGTCTGCAGCTCCTGATTAGCATCTGCAGAGATATAGGAAAACAGGAAAAAGGCAATTTGTCTATGTGAAGCATTTTGATCTTTGGTGGAAGATGGACAATAGTCAGAGACAATGTTCTTCCACCGTATATATACTTTTTCTTGTAGTGATAAATGATCATATACAGATTTTTAGGATCCAAGCAGTAAGTGTCGAACATTTTTTTCTATGCAGTTGTATGGCCTCAGACACAAAATGTTACAAAGAAACGTTGAGGTGGAAGGCAAATCTTCACATCTGCAGAAGGGAGCTGACCTTTTGGAGAAAGGCGACTTCATTTTTTCTCAACTGCTGATAAAACCGTCAAATACCTGAGTCGGGACTGGCAAACCTGCAAGTGTTCAGAAATCAGGTGTGTCACACAGCATGAGCTCATCGAGACTTTGTGGTTGGCAAATTTGGATGCCTCTAGTTATGTTCGGGTCATGGATGTCCACTTACAGCATGAGCTCACATTACAGCATGTCCACTTCCCCAAAAGAAATACCAAAGCGGAATTAATGACAAGTCCTTGGATAGATTCAAGGGTGTGGCCCGGAACACTCAACTGCCAGGAAATGGTTGGCACTTGGCACCACAAGCTATGCTAGAGACCATGCAGACCATGGGTGTGGACAATGAGATATGGAACTTCCAGCAACTTGGCAGATCTGCAGCAATCAAAACACTATTAAACCAACAAGCACCTAACATGCAGTTTCAGGTGTAAGTGCAAAATACACCCAAAAGCAATGAAGTGAGCTCCTCTTCACCTCACCTAATTGCAATCACACAATTCCTGCAAAAGCATGAACTTCAAATCCCTTGATACAGGAGGCTGAACTGAATGAAACACCGCCATCACCGTCAAAAAAATGAAACACCGCCATAAACGCTGGACCCCGGATGGCCCCACAACGCCTCTGCCCAATTCGGCAGCATAGACTGTTGTAGGCATCTTATCACCCAGCCACTAGTCCACTATCCTTGCCTCCATAGTGCCATGGCCCAGCAGGATCAAACGATCTCATTGCCTCCTTCACGAGCCATCGTTGAAATCATCGAACTCATGGCCTTGTCCCCTGCCCAATGCAAATTAGGCATACGTCTATGCCTATGTATTCATGGGCTAGCTAGTAGTGCACCATCACTTCATCAACAAACTCACAGGCTAAACATTTCTGAGCAACATACCTCAGAACCAAGAACACACAGCCATGACCATGATCCATCCTAAAAGATTTGCTCAGTTTGTGAGGAAGTGGCAAAGGGTCAGGACAACATCCAGCGACAACGAAGCAGGCTGCACAACACCACAGGGCACAGATAAAGGCCACTGCGCTGTGTACATGGCCAATGCCAGGAGGCTTAAGTTCTCCCTGACTTGCCTCAACAAGACAATCTTCGGCGAGCTGCTAAGGATGCCCCAGGAGGAGTTTGGGTTTACATGTGATGGCAGGATCACACTGCCCTTCGATGCAGCGGTGATTGAGTATGTCATGTGCTTGCTCAGAAGAAATGCATCAAAGTAGAGAGACCGTTCCTGAGCTCTATAGTGATGCCTTCCCGATATCCAAGCAGTACGGTATCACTGCACCAGCAGCTTGCAGTTTGTAGCTCCTGAATTTTGCATGTTTCTCCCACGATGTAAAATAGTTCAACACTGCAGAATGGAAATTACGTATTAGCATACCAGCTTATTGCATCCTATGAAGTACCATTAACTACAAGTCTACAACCATATATCATTAGGACATAGGGCGCAGGAAAGTGATTTACTTTGAACTCGGGATTCAGAGTACAAAAGCTAACACCTAACAAGCACCACTGCCATTAAGAGAATCAAAGATGTGATTATATTGTATGCTAAATAAATAATTAAAAAAAATCCAATTTTCTGTTGCACTTATCTTCAAAAAAGTACTGAATCTGTATACAAGAACAACAAATACATACCCTTTTCAGAAGAAAATAGTCCAAGGAAGTTACCATACAATATGTTCAACAACAGGGTTTATTTGATTTCTCGGTATTGTCTACAAAACAGAAGTTCAAAAGCAAATATCAGTTAGATGTGTGATATCCTACTTTCTTCAGAAATCATCAAGTTTCTTCCCGAACTGAACTGATGTACTGCAAAATGTAGTTAGGGCATATTCCGGCCTGCATTTTCACTTGGAGTGTGGCGAGCCGAGGCCACCCAGCTCATGCAAGTAGCTAGTCTCCGATAGCAACTGCGGTGGAAGCGTTCATCTTCCAGGCAACAGACTGCAGTTCCTACCTCAAGACCTATAACCAGCTCAACCCACCTCCATCTGGGACACGCGATGTCAATCCAACAGTTCTAGGTAGAGGTAGGGACAGCAGTATGCTGATCGTTCATCCAAAATCCTCCATCCGCATTTCCTTCGCTGCGCCATCACCGCATTCTGCCACCTTCTAGCCAGGCCCATCCTCTCCTGCTTCCTTCCTCCGCATATCATACCGACAAACTTCCAGCCCATGTTTTTTTTACTTTCTTCAGTACTCTATACGACGAACTACAGCAAAGGCCAAAGTATGCGTCAAATAGCCAAATTTCTCTCAGTAAAATATAATATTTTTATCATTTCTCATGATAGTAGGATCTTACATCAGACTGTACAGAGATCTTCAGGTTCTAACAAAAAAAATCACCAGATAAGCTAGTAGCTAAGTACAAAGAGCAAATTGATGGCTGAGTCCCATCGATGGCGCCACACAACTAGCACTGTAGTTGTGGCAATGCTCAGCAATAGAGCTCAAGAATGCCCTCTCAACCTCCTCAGAGGCCTCTCTCCTGATAAGGCACAAGACGTACTCCATCACCGTGGTGTCACAGGGCAGCGTGATCCTGCCTCCATCGCTGCCGCTTGCGAACCCAAACTCCTCCTCAGACATCCTCAGGAGCTCAGCGAAGACCGTTGTCCCGAGGTACGCCAGAGGGACCTCAAACCGTGTTCCGTCGGTGCTGTACACCATGCAATGGCCCTCATCGGCAACCACAGATGACGCTGTGCTGCAGCGATCATCGTCGACCATGTCTGAGGCATGCTGCCGGTGGCGAGCATCGGTCCCGGCTGCCAACATCCGCTGGCACTTCTTGGCCAGCTGAGCAAGCTTCTTTGGATGGATCATGGTAGAGTCTGATGTGTTCCTGGCTGGCTCCGAAAGTCTGAAAGTGTGTTGTAGAGTGTGATGTTGTTTACAGATGAGATGAAGTTTGTGCTGAGCAGGCCATGGATTTATAGTAGAAGGAAGAGAGGGATCAGGGTAGTGCATATGTGTGTAGGTTGCGTGTAGCTATCAGCGAGAGCGTTGGGCTGGGCCCTGGGGACAATGCCATGAGTGCTCCATGTGCAGTGTTGTTGCAATTAGCTGCAGACATGAAATGTGATGGAATGATTTTGATGAGATTTTCAAGCACCACCCATGTCTGAAATGTGCTTCTGGTTAGAGAACCCTATGGGGTCCTCGTGCTCGTGCCATTTTCCCAGCAAACTGATCACCACGGCTATGCAGGCGAGACGTCCAGGCCAAGCTCCGGCAAAGTGCCAAGCACTTGGCCCCAGCAGAACCTGATCTGGATCACATCATGACCATCAAACCACAGCACCACATGTACCATTGAACATGGCATTCTCGCCTGCCCAACCATCACACGCTTCACATTACTTTACCCTTGAGCTATAAAATCCATTGCTAAGAGCATTACTAGTAGTGCCCTCAAACCCTCAAACCCCTAAAAATAACCGCTTTTTTACAGTTTTCGCCGAAAAAACGCCGTAGGCTAGAACCTCTAAACCCTCAAATCCGTAAAAAAATTTAGAGGTCCAACCCTCAAACCACTTTGCAATCTGTAGAAGTAGGGGTTGAGGGGAAAATCTCCCCCCAACCCGCACTCCTCCTCGTCGCTCGCTCCTCGCTCGCGCGGGAGCCAACCGCTCCTCCTCCCGGCCTCCTCCTCCCGCCGCCTCCTGCCGCGCCGGCCATGGAAGGCCCCGCCGCCGCCGCCCCCGCCCCCGCACCCGCCCAGCCCGTCCCGCCCGCCCGTCCCGCCCGCCCCGCCCGTCCCGCTGCCTCCTGCCGCGCAGGCCATGGCGGGCCTCGATGGAGCGCAGCGCGGAGCGGCGCGCGCGGACGCACCAGTCGGTGCTGGCGGCGGGCAGCGGGTCGTTATCCCCGTCGGTGGCCCCCGAGGACGTGCTCCGGAAGCAGCGCCTGCTGGCCAGCCCGGCCATGAAGCAGGTCGTGCTCTTCCACCAGCCGGCCAGGCCCGGCGACGCCTTCGACCAGGTGCTCAACGGGCTCGCCCGCAAGCTGCCGCACCGGGCAGAAGGTGCTCGACTGGAACGCCGGCCTCGACAGCGACCTCAAGTCGTGGTAGTGTGTGTATGTTCAGAGTTCAGAAGACCTCACGCCCTGTTCTTCAGAGTTCAGAAGACCTCACGCCCTGTTCTTTTCTCGTTCGTTTCGTTTACGGGTTGGGTTTGAGGGTTCTAGTATTTGCCCCTGTTTTTCAACCCTTAAAAGTGTCAAAAAGTGGCACAACTCAACCCTTAAAACTGCTTTTTAGATTTAAGGGTTTGAGGGTTCTACTAGTAATGCTCTAAGTGCCCTCCAAACACCACCGCTTCATCCACAGACAAAGGCATTCCCACCTTCAATAGCAGAAGAATTTCTCCAGTTTCCAAAACACAAGAAACTACCATGATGAGTACCAAGACATTCGCTCGGCTGGCCAAGAAGTGGCAGAAGGTGGTTGCTATGAGGAGGAAGAGGCTCACCGGGTTGTCATCAACGTCTGCGAAGAAACCAAAGGGTCTTGCAGCACATCATGCTTCTCAGTGGACGGCAAGGGCCACTGCATCGTGTACACTGCTGACGGCGTGAGATTTGAGGTGCCGCTTGCGTTCCTCGGTACGACAGTCTTCGGCGAGCTCTTTAGGATGTCCCAAGAGGAGTTTGGCTTCACAGGCGTTGACAGTCGCAGAATCACGCTGCCATGTGATGCATCGGTGATGGAGTACGCCCTGTGCTTGCTCAGGAGAAGCGCCTCTGCAGAAATGGAGGCCGCGTTCCTCTACTCCATGGCGATGCCATGCCACTATCATGCTGCGGCACATCTGGGAGTTAACCAGCATTTTGGTGTCTGCAACTGCTGATCACCATCTGCCAGACATAGGGATATAGGAAAAAAGGAAATTGTTTATGTGAAGCATTTTGATCATGCAAGTGAAGAAGCAAACAAGGAAGATGGGCGGTACTTAGGGACACTGCTCTTTCAATGTGTATATATACATCTTGCAAAGATATATGATTGATCACAGATTTTTAGGACCTAAGCACGAAGCATTGCTGAAAAATTCTTCTGCATAGATATATGGCCTCAGACCCCAAAATATTACAAAGGAACATTGGCGAGGGCTAGAAAATCTTCACAGATAGAGAAGGAAACTGACCATTTGTAGAAAAGATCTGTGTTTTATTCGAACCAAGATAAAGTTGTGAGATTACATTTGAATTGGGATTGCAGTGGAACATTGACTAGGGCTAGAAAATCTTCATAGATGGATAAGGAAACTTTTTTTTTGCGAATAGGGTAAGGAAACTGACGGTTTGTAGAAAAGCTGTGTTTTATTCGACCAAAGATAAAACTGTTGAATTTTATTTGAATTGGGACAGGAAAACCTGCTAATGTGCAGAAACAGACCAGTAATCAGAGACATTGAATGAGCTCATCCACATTTGTATTTGGCCAATCTAGGTACCACACAACCACTAGTTAAGTGATAAGGATCAACGTGATGATCCTATAGTTTTTGTCCGATCTTTCACCGCAAGACAATTAGATAGCAAACTTTCTAATCGCGTGATCAATCCACGCAACCTGAAGATGAGGAAACGAATCCAGCAAGCAACGTGAAGATGAACAACATGCCTCTAACCTTGGCACGATAATCCTTGATCACACAAGAACCTTCATGCAATCATCACTTTATTTGATAAATAGCAGCGCCGTCCCCGGAGGGATGATTCACCACGTGGACACAATGTTCAAAACTCAATCTAAAAATTTCACCCCCTCTAAACCTAGCCACTAGCCTCCTTATATAGGCATCTAGAAAACTAATCGGTT